TTTTTTTAAAATTTTTATTCACTTTATGGATTCAATGTTCGCTCTGTAATTACAGGAATCTGGAGTTGTGTTACAGCAGAATTTTTTGTAAAACGTGAAGTAACACATCATTTGTTGCAAAGTTATGTACCAACAACGTTGATCGTTGTTATATCGTGGTTTTCATTTTGGCTTGATGTTGAAGCAGTACCAGCTCGAGTAAAACATTTCTGTGTTTACCTAGACTACTATTATAGTTTATTTAAATTTTTTTTAAACTTATTTTTTAGAATATCAGTTATCAGCAATTTTTTAGCACAAAAAAAAAAGCAGTTTAACAGTGTTTAAAATACACACGCGAAAAGCATGATCTACTTTTGTGTTAGTCTCAAATGCCGCTAGTTTTATAATCTGAACGATGTTTGTCTATTAGCTATAGTAAATTTCATTACAAATTTTCAAAACTGTCTTATATAAAAAAAGTCTTGAAATAATATAAATATAATTGACAAAAATAAGATTAGTTTTTTTTTTTTTAGTTGCAGTTAGTTTTCACCTAACCTATACAAACAAAAAAAAAGTCTTGTTTAGCACAAAAGAAATATTGGTTTGAAAGTTTAGGTATCTTTAGCGATAACAACACTACTGACCTTGTCAACGCAGTCAAATGCTGCTCGAATGGCTCTTCCGGAAGTGTCGTATATGAAAGCAATAGACGTTTGGATGGGTACATGTATGATGTATGTTATTTGTTGCTGTTTCAGCAAACAATTTGAACTGCCCTTGAACTTTGCTTTTAAAATTTTCTTTTAATGCAGTCAGCAAAATTTCAGATTTGTATTTGGTGTTATGATCGAATTCACTATTGTAAATTACGCTCAAAGACTGTGTATGATTTCAATATTCTTCAATAAGTATTCAAAATTTTTTATCAAATACAGCAGCATTCATTTCTGTTTCTAATCTTTACTAAAAATTTTTTCAAATAATGATTAATTGAATGAGTTCTAAACTAAAATATACAGTAAAGCCTATGTTTAATCACTTTACAGCATATGATCTACAGCCTTTTGCAAAAGAGGTAGCAGAAAGAGGACGAGAATGTAACACTGCCAAATTATCAAGTAACCTTGAACAGTACGCAAGAGAAATTTTTAACAAGATAGCAAGCAAAAATCTTCATCAGCGGCTCAGTGAGGTATTAAATTTTAAAACTTTCCAAGAACACTTTATCTGCTAGTTGTCAAAAAACGTTGTTCAAGGTCCTAAAAGTTTTCTTAGATGAGATTGCAGCTTCAAAAAATAGCAAAAAAGTGATTGATTAAAGTGCACGATTTTTTTGAAGCCTGCTAGATGTTTCATAGCATTTTTTTCAAGTTCCAGGACGATGTCATGCTTACAAAGCGAAACGTTGACAACAGCAGATATGGCAGTGTTCAGCTAACGAGCGAAAAAAGCTTTACAGATGAAATCTTTGAGAACCCAACCATGACAAGTCGTAGCAGTAATGGGGTAAAAGTTATCTCTATTTGTGGTAGGCAAAACCGTCAGAAGATTATTTATCCATGCTGTAAGATAGTGTCTGGAACGCTGCAGGAAGATAATGAATTGTGTTGGGAAATGTTGGAAATACAGCGAAATGAGCATAAACAATTACTGAACAATAACGGTATAGAAAAGTCGCAATTCAAATTTGGTTCAGTCCGAAAAAGGCGAAACACAGAAGTGATTCGAAAAAATAACGGTAAGTAGTTTTCTTGTGTAGCTTCTAGCCTATAATTTTAATTTAACTTTAAACCAGCAATTTATTTCATATATCTATTACGTATGTCGGAATTAGAAGAGAAGAAATTGTTGCTGCGGATCATTACTGTATAAATAAACTGTGGCGAATTAAAACTGAGGGTGATTCACGATAGACGAGAGTTGTCTCAAAAAGCAAGAAAAAGCCACTATAACTGACAGTATAGATAGGTGACGGCTACATTAGTAAATTTTCTTTAGAGAATATTAAAAAGCCGGTAAGCTTAATAAAATAGCCCTCCAGTAGTGCGAAGCATAGTCATAGCTAAGTGATAGTCTGGTATTCCAGTAAAACGCATTATTTGTCTTTCAGTAAGGTCTGAATTGAGAGGGCCTACTTCTGGAACAGTTAAGTATAATTCAGCTATCGCTCTAATACTTAAAATGCCTGTACAAGGTCTTTATAAATATACTGTTTAACTGTTCTATCACAGCGTACTGTTTCTTAAGCACCGTCCAAAAGTACCAAATAAAAATCCCAAATGCCAACCTACGACAAATTCAGTTTGATTGAAAGTTCCATGCCTAAAAGCACTGTCTATTTAAGCTAGTTTGAACAACATTGCTCAACATCACGGCGTATGTCGTGAATTGATTTCTAATTTAACAATAGATTTTGCTCTAGTATTACTTTGAAAAAAGGAAATAAGTTGCAATTTTAGAAAAAAAAAAACAAAAAAAAAGAAAGCATTATTTTAATTTATTCAATACATAAACTTGAACTTCCAGTAAGTGTAATAATTTTGAGGTTAAAAAATCTGCGTTACTTCGTTCAGGTTATGAGTCAAAAATTACTGTAATATTAAGACCGCATTTTCTCATGAGTTACGTTTAGTTGCAAGATTTGAGTGTATGAAGATGAACGTTTCTATATTTCTTTCCACCAGTAATAGCCAAATCTAAATTTACTAGATAGAGCCATGAACATCTAATCACTCCCAAGCAGTAATTCGCCGACTTTGCTTGAGCTGTTTAAATCACAGATCTGGCACGAGTTTCTTGTCAGTGAAATAAGAGATGTAGCATCTGATAAACACGGTCAATTGCCTATTTTCTAATCAAGAGCCCCAAAGATCTGAATGCCTCTTCTTCATTGAAATTCTGAAGTCATCAGTAACAAAGAGGATTTAAGAACGTAGATACTAAAATACCATAAATGCTAGAAAATTGTATAAAACAGCAAACCTTTGAGAAGAAGAGAGCAAATGAATTCAA